TGGGGAAAATAGACCTTGACATTTGGGAGTTGTAGTTGCTGGGATTTATAGTTCACCTACAATCAAAAAGCATTCTAAACTCCACCAACGATGGAACTGAACCAAACTTGGCACGCAGAACTCCCATGACCAACAGAAAATACTGGAAGGGTTTAGTGAGCATTGATCTTGAGTTTGGGAGTTGTAATTCACCTACATCCAGAGACCACTGTGGACTCAAACAATAATGGATCTGGACCAAACTTGACACGAATATTCAATATGCCCAAATGTGAACACTGGAGTTGGGGAATATAGACCTTGACATTTGGGTTGTAGTTGCGGGGATTTATAGTCCACCTACAATCAAAAAGCATTCTAAACTCCACCAACGATGGAACTGAACCAAACTTGGCACGCAGAACTCCCATGACCAACAGAAAATACTGGAAATGGCTTGATGAGCATAGACCTTGAGTTTGGGAGTTGTAATTCACCTACATCCAGAGAGCACTGTGGACTCAAACAATGATGGATCTGGACCAAACTTGGCACGAATACTCAATATGCCCAAATGTGAACACTGGTGGAGTTTGGGGAAAATAGAGCCTTGACATTTGGGAGTTGTAGTTGCTGGGATTTGTAGTTCACCTACAAAAAAGCATTCTGAACTCCAGCAACGATGGAAATGAACCAAACTTGGCACACAGAACTCCCATGACCAACAGAAAATACTGGAAGGGTTTGGTGAGCATTGATCTTGAGTTTGGGAGTTGTAGTTCACCTACATCCAGAGAGCACTGTGGACCCAAACAATGATGGATTTGGACCAAACTTGGCAGGAATACTCAATATACCTAAATGTGAACACTGGTGGAGTTCGGGGAAAATAGAGCTTGACATTTGGGAATTGTAGTTGCTGAGATTTATAGTTCACTTAAAATCAAAGAGCATTCTGAACTCCACTAGAATCATAGAATCATAGAGTTTGAAAAGACCTCATGGGCCATCCAGTCCAACTCCTGGCAAGAAGCAGGAAAATTGCACTCAAATTACCCCTACAGATGGCCATCCAGTCTCTGCTTAAAAGCCTGCAAAGAAGGAGCCTCCACCACACTCCAGGACAGAGAGTTCCACTGCTGAACGGCTCTCACAGTCAGGAAGATGTTCAGATGGAATCTCCTTTCTTGCAGTTTGAAGCCATTGTTCCACGTCCTAGTCTCCAGAGCAGCAGAAAACAAGCTTTCTCCCTTTTCCCTTCTTCTCACATATTTATACATGGCTATCATGTCTTCTCTCAGCCTTCTCGCCTTAAAGTTAAACATGCCCTGCTCTTTAAGCCGCTCCTCATAGGGCTTGTTCTCCAGACCCTTGATTATTTTAGTCGCCTTCTAGCTTGTCAATATCTCTCTTCAATTGTGGTGCTCAGAATTGGACACAATATCCCAGGTGTGGTCTAACCAAGGCAGAATAGAGGGGTAAGCATGACTTCCCTAGTAAACAACACTTGATCATTTTAGTCGCCCTTCAGGTTGAGAAACGCTGTTCTAAACCTGTATTTGCTGGATAACCTTTTAAAGCGATAGTCAAACTCCGAGAAAGGGCCCTGTTCTCCTTATTCGTGGCCGCCTGCGAGTCTTTTCCAAGCAATACGGTATCCTGTTAGCATTCCGAACAAGGGGGCTGCTGTTCAGAGGGGTTTTTTCCCCCCTTCCAAAGGTTTCCTGAAGGAACATGTGGAAGCAATAGTCCGGGCTGCGCGTTCAGCCCGAGCCCGAGATGCGGGAGGAAAAGCAACCCCACAAAGGGGGCTGGAGGCTGAACCAAGGAGGCTGGGTGGAGGCAACGAAGGGGGCTGGAAAGGACCCCGAAAGAGAGGGCGAGCGGAGGACTGGGTGGACGACTGGAAGGCTACAAATACAAACCACGAAAGCCTTTCTCCCTCCACATTTCCAGATGTTTAGGGGGTTAGCCAACTGCCCCAAAGAGGGGCCAACATGTCACATCTGGAGAGTACAGGGAGGAAGGTGAAATCTCCCTCCCTTTTTTCCGTGTTGAGAAACTGCAAGTCGCTTCTGGTGTGAGAGAATTGGCCTTCTGCAAGGACGTTGTCCAGGGAATGTCCAGATGTTTTACTATCCTGTGGGAGACATGAGAAGCAAAAGCTGACAGATGGCAGCTCACCCCACTCCCTGGAATGCCCAGATGTTTAATGTTTTACCATCCTTGTGGGGGGGGGGGGGGGGGGCTCCGGTGGCTCCTGTGCCGGCAGGACTGAAAACCAACAAGGGAGAGCGCGGACGAGCTCCCTCTGTCAGCTCCAGCTCCTCATGCGGGGACATGAGAGAAGCCTCCCACAAGGATGATAAAACATCAAAACATCCGGGCGTCCCCTGGGCAACGTCCTTGCAGACGGCCAATTCTCTCACACCAGAAGCGACTTGCAGTTTCTCAAGTCACTCCTGACCCACAACGTCCTTGCAGATGGCCAGTTCTCTCCCACCAGAAGCGACTTGCAGTTTCTCAAGTCGCTCCTGACACGTCCTTGCAGACGGCCAATTCTCTCCCACCAGAAGCGACTTGCAGTTTCTCAAGTCGCTCCTGACACGTCCGTGCAGACGGCCAATTCTCTCCCACCAGAAGCGACTTGCAGTTTCTCAAGTCGCTCCTGACGCGTCCTTGCAGACGGCCAGTTCTCTCCCAATAGAAGCGACTTTCAGTTTCTCAAGTCACTCCTGACACAACAAAAGAAAAATCCTTGTGGGAGGCTTCTCTCATGTCCCCCGCATGGAGAGCTGGAGCTGACAGACGGGAGCTCACCCCGCTCTCCCCGATTAGATCCCAACCTCCATCCTGAGAAAAGGACAGAGTCTCTCTCTGGGTTGTTGTAGGTTTTTCGGGCTGTATGGCCATGTTCTAGAAGCATTCTCTCCTGACGTTTCGCTTGCATCTATGGCAGGCATCTTCAGAGGTTGTGAGGTCTGTTGGAAACTAGGAACATTGGGTTTATATATCTATGGAATGTCCAGGGTGGGAGAAAGAACTCTTGTCTGTTGTTTGAGGCAAGTGTGAATGTTTCAATTGCCATTCCACAGATATTGAAGCCCAATGTTCCTAGTTTCCAACAGACCTCACAACCTCTGAGGACGCTTGCCAGAGATGTAGGCGAAACGTCAGGAGGGAATGCTTCTGGATGCACGAAAAACCCACAACCCAGTGATTCTGGCCATTTTTTTTGTCGTGTCAGGAGCGACTTGAGAAACTGCAAGTAGCTTCTGATGTGAGAGAATTGGCGGTCTGCGAGGACGTTGCCCAGGGGATGTTTTGATGTTTGATCATCCTTGTGGGAAGCTTCTCTCATGTCCCCGCATGAAGAGCTGGAGCTGTCATTCACCCTCGAGGGAAGAAGTGTTCAGAACCGAACCATAGGCAGAAGGAGGGGGGACACGAAGGTCCCAGGACCCTGATGGCCCTTCGCCCTCCCTTTTTCCTGGAATCGTAGCTGTTTCTGTTTTCTAATCCCGGCGCGCGCCTCGAAATGGATCTGGAAAGCGCCCCCCTCCTCCCCCTCCCCCTCTTGGGCGCCTCTTTTTCCTTTCCTGGACTCGGGGCGCCCCCTTGGCCTCTGAAGCGGAACAGCGCCGCGGAAATGCCGAGATCTGGAGCGCTCCTCCTGCGAAAATGAAGCGCAGCCTCTTCTAGCTCCCATCCCAAAGTCTCTGCACCCTTCTCCCCAAAACCATGACGCCCACAACACAATAGAGACACCCCACGATGAAGGCGAGCGCCAGTCGAGAGGCTTCTTTCTCTTGAGACAAAGCAGGGACAGCCACCAATGTGTCCACTATCTCCTCCTCGACTCGGATCGAAGCCAAACACCTCTTTGTCTTTTGAAGCCTTTCCTTCTCTGTCCGGGACAGGACTGCCTTCACTCTACTTACTTTTGCCCGAGTAGGATGATCCTCCAGGGTCAGTGTGCAGTGGATCCCTAGGTGACTGTGGAGCCCTATACTTGATCTGCATCTTCTCCTGCAGTCCCGCCTGATGAGCCTTCCTCTTGGCATGTTTCTCTCTTTTGCCCTCCTTTCCTCTTCAAATTCTACAGCACTGCTGGTCACAGCTGACCTCCAGCTGGAGCGCTCAAGGGCCAGGGCTTCCCAGTTCTCAGTGTCTATTCTTGTCACTTTTCTCTTTTTCGCCCTCCATTCATGCCTCTTCAAACTCCACAGCACTGCTGGTCACAGCTGACCTCCAGTTGGAGCACTCAAAGGCCAGGGCTTCCCAGTTCTCAGTGTCTATTCTTGGCACGTTTCTCTCTTTCACCCTCCATTCGTGCCTCTTCAAGTTTCTCTCTTTCGCCCTCCATTC